AATAAGTATTAAATATTATTTATTTAAAAGCTATTTATATAAAGGGTGACAAAAACCGACCGATTCCGGTCGGTAATATTATTAAATTTATATTTTAATTATCTTAAAATCGTTTTTCCGACCGAAGTCGGTCGAAAATATTTAATTATAACTTATTTTGGTTGGTTAATTAAATATATATAATTTTTGTTATATTAAAAATCAATTGTCTTGGGCGGGAAATAATAATTTCAAAATTTCCGACCGAATCGGAAATTTGGAAAAACTTTAATAAAAAATTATTTTTGTACATTATATACAAGTATGACCAGGTGTTGGTCAAATATTGACCAATTTCCGACCGAAATCGATCGTAATTTTTATTTTATTTTTTGTCAAAAATAATTTTGTTGACTTTCGCGATCAATTTAGCAATTTTCGACCGATTTCGGTCGGTTTTGTTTCCGACCGATTTCGGTCGGTATGCCTTGGACGAAATATGTCAGTTTTCTAGTAGTGGATTCACCTACACATCTTGCTTTTACTGTTATCTTGAAAGTTACTTTAAGTATTGGTCGACGTAAAACGTATAATGAATTAGTTTCTATCTTCTGTTGAATCTTTTTCATGGCTCGCAACTTCAGCAACTGCATTCTTTTCCTTTAGAATGATCACCAGGAGGTACAATATCATATTATCACTTAATCATAATTAACTACTATTAAACACTTAGTGTGGATCGCAAATTTTTATTGTATTTAGACTTCTCAAAGCAATAATAGTATCAAGTTTTGCTTTTCTTGCTTTAACATCTTCGGTACATTCTCAAATTGAATGAAATTAATTAATACACTACTATAAACATTTAGAAATTAATTAGACGTCCTATATAATATATATGACATTTTTCTCATATTTCCAATCCAACCCAACACGTATAAAGTTATAACAATCATAGATTGAAAATATAAGGGAACAAGTGACTTTACAATGAGTGTGATCTTACTATTACCACCACTACTACTACTATTGTTATTATTATTATAAGAAGTATTAATTTTTTCATATGTATATACATACTTCGAGTCAAAATATAGATTCAATTAAACTCATAAAAAACCCTCTAAATCTGTCTTCCTTTGAAAAGGATTTGGGCCAAAAAGCAGGCAAAAAATTGGATGGGAAAAGGAAGGGAGCGGGACACTACTGTAGTAAGCCAAAAAAATACAGCAAAGAGTAACATGTGGGAAGTTGGATCAAAAGAGAGAGGACTTAAGCCTAAAGGGCCACAAAATATCTAAATATATATAGAAGTAGCATTTGGCAATCAGAACTTAAATTTTATGAGCTCTAAATTTAAGGATAGCAACATTTAATGTCAGTAATTAATTGGATTCTAAATTTAATTCTTTTTATATATTTAATGGATTTCTCAATACAAATATACCCTTTAAGTACAAATTATTAGGATCGGCCAAACCCGCATATGGACTTCTACCTCCGCCCCTGATAGAAGTAGGAGCTGTACAAATGAACCAAAAGTGTGATAGTGAAATTCATTAATTCAACATATGGAGATTGTTTTTTCAGTGTTGGAGATAATTGTGTCAACCCGTGAAGGGAGTGAGAGTGCATGTTATCTTTTGAGGCTGGATTATTTTGTTACCTTCTGCATCTGCTTTCCTCATCCTGATGTGATTGGTCGGCTACCCCCCCTCGCCCCTCTCTTCACCAACCCCTACAAACAAAAGAATTTAAAAAAGAAAGAGAAAAAAAAAAATTGTCACATTAAAGTACAAGTAATTAAATATTACTCACTACTATAGTAAAGTCATAAATATTAACAGCTTGTTTGGATGGTTGTTATGTATCGTGTCGTAATATATCGTATCGTATTGTACTGTATTGTATTATTTTGATATCTATAATATTTGAATAAATTGTATTGTTTGTGATCGTTTCATGATGTCATGTACCACAATATGAAGAATAAACTTGCATTATTATAAAGAAAAAGTAAGGCACGAGATAGAATTATTATATAAGAAGTTAGGGTAAAGGATAAAATAGAATATTTTTAATAATAAGAAAGGGCATGGCAAGATGAGAGGAAAAAAATAAGATAACGACATGTCCACACCAAATCGGTTGTTACATATCAGCTTGTTTGGATTGTTGTTACATGTTGTATTATATCGTATTGTTACTTTAAATACAATGTTTGTTTTGATTGTTACTTAAATTTTATTATATCGTATCGTTAAATCCATCGTTACCTAACGATGAAAATTGCCACTTATGGAATGACTTATTTGGTGTGGCCGCATCGCTTCCTTAATTTTTTTCCTCTCATCTTGCCCTTCCTTGTTATTAAATAATCATATTTTATCTTTTACCCTATCTTTTTATATAATAATTCTACCTCGTACCTTAATTTTTCTTTATAATATTGCAAGTTTATTCTTCATATTATTGGTGCATGACATTATGAAACGACGACAAACAACAATACAATTTATTCAAGCATTATATACATCAAAACGATACAGTACAATATAATATAATTATATACGATACATTATGAAACAATATATAACAAGTTAACAACCATCCAAACAAGCTGTAAAGTGGCACTTTTTCGTCGTTACATAACGACGAATTTAACGATACGATACAATAAAATTTAAGTAACAATCAAAACAAGTATTATATTTAAAGTAATAATACGGTACAATATAATAGGTAACAATTATCCAAACAAGCTGTAAAGTAACTAAACTATACATGTGTAAATTGCCCAGCAAATACTAATGTTCGAAAAGTCATATTTTTAGCATCGAGTAATCATTTTTTTTCCCTTATTATTTTTTGTTTCATTTAGGTGTCTTTTAACTGTCTTTTGTTTTATGAAATACAGGTAGTCAAAATTCTACAAAACAATTTTCACTCGTGTATTTGCTGAGCAAATGCACATAATTTAGTTACTTTACTGTTAATGTGTAAAGTTCATTTATTAAAATGAGATAAAAATAGTTTTGTAATTTTATTATAATAGTGAGTAAACATTCATTTATTTTAATGAACTATTTGTGTGTTTACTTCTTTATACTTTGAATTTCCTTAATAAAATCTTGGGTCCGCCAATATTTGGGTACACATAATATGTAGGTGCAATTTCATCGATCTACAACTAGTTAACTTGACTAAAATATGAACCTCGACGATTAAGTCACGTTATTGTTTTACTACAATTTGAGAATGTTATTATATGCTATTAGTTGAGAAAATTTCTTCGTACTTCTTAAAACCTAATGTGAGGATACTCATAAAGGGTAGGGCAACCCGATATACGAAGTATTCCGTATTCATGTAAGGTTCGGAAAAGGGTCGCACCCCAAAGGGTGTGATGTAGGCAGTTTACCTTAATGTAAGTTTTAGTGGCTGATTCTACAGCTCGAACCCGTGACCTATAGGTCACAGAGAGACAACTTTACCGCTGCTCCACGACTACAACTTTACCGTTGCTCCACGACTCCCTTTCAATATGAGGATAGTCATAATAGATGAAATATGAACCATTCAATATTCAATAGATAGTAAATCATAGGGTTCTCATTTGGACCACCAAAATTTTCTTGAGTATATGACAATAAGCACATTAAATAGATTTTGTCTTGTATTATGTCCCCGTATGGTAAAGAGTTTGTGGAGGCTTTTGTAGGTACAGTAAAATACAATGGCCAAAATTTCCTCTTTGTAAATGGTTGGCTCCAAATTGTCTTCCTCTTTCACAATGATCCATATGGTAAAATCAAGAGGCTGTGATTCCTCTAAATACTATAAACTGTGAGATCAAAGTACATCCACAGGATTTGGATTGACCTAAAGAATATAAGAATCTTTATCATAGTCCTTTAGGTACCTGCAATGTCACATGACTACACAATCATGGAGAAATAAAGGAAGAGATGTGGAAGGTGATCCATGTTGTGGTTCCAAGCATATGTGTCACCGAATTTGAAGTTTATGGGTTCGACATTCTAATCATTTTAAGTTTTTGGATTCAGTCAAGAACTTAAACTTTTTAAATAAATTTTTTAAGATAAATACAAAGTCTAGACCAAAGTTACTGGGTTCGATCGAACTCGTACGTTAAACTCTAGCTCTTCCCCTGGTTCCGAGTATAGAGCTGTTAGTTCTGAAATGCATATATAACTCAAATTCATGTATACTTAGTTTTCGCACGTACAGTCAGACCTTTCTATAACAGTCATTCTCTATAACAACACATCACTATGATGGCTAAATTTTCTTTGGGAACATTTCATGTTATGTTATAATATATGTTTATTATAACAACACTTCACTATAGCAGCCATAAAATATCAAAACAAACTAGATTGTTATAGAGAAGTTTGACTGTATATATAAAATTAGGGATGTACAAACCAAACCGATAACCCGCACCAACCCGAAAATCTGAGTCAACCCGAAAAAAAAACCTGATTAGTGGTTTGGTTTGACTTGGTTTGGTATTGAAAAATATAACCCGACCATAATAGGGTTGGTTTGGTATTAACTAAAAAAAGTCAAACCGAAACCAAACCAACCCGACATTACATATATACATATCTTATATATTAGATAGGTAAAAATATTTATTAGAATATAAGTTATAAATATTTCTTCTTCTTTTTTTTATAATTTATTTATTTAGCATAATATTTTAAGTTGGTTGTATAGCCCATGTAAATATTTATTTTTTTCTGGCTCATAAAAGAATAATTGAGCCCAAACCAAAACCTAATCCTAAAGCAGAACTAGACTAGTCTTAAAGCTGTTCTAAAACACTTAAACAATTGAAATCATTTTGCCTTTTCTCCAAAAGCAAGAAACCCTATCGTTCCATTCCAAACCCCTCCCCCCCTTCNCTTATTTTACATGTTTTCTTTTAGCTGCATACATACGCCTTGTTTTTTCCAATTAACTAAGATTTTTCTTATTTAGATTAGCAATATTTTTGCAAATCTGTTGTATTCCTCCCTATTGTCGAATTCATTTGTTTATTTTGTTTCTCTTAGATGATTAACATGAGTAATTGACTGTTACTTAAAAATATATTGAAACTTTTTTACGTATATTTTTAATCATTTGGTTAAATAATATGGACTATGTAAAATTAAGAGTGATGTATTTCTTACATTGATGTATTTTCAAGGAATATAAGTTTGAAGATATGTTAGAGGAAGTCCAGAAAATTGAGCAAGTTGAAGAAGGTAATAATTTATATCCAATTATTAATGAGTATAGTTATTTTTTATATTACTTAATATTAAATATGTTAATTGTTTCTTTTCTTTCAGAATATGCAGACTCGCCTTTCAGAATTGATTAGAGGGACAGTTAACTACAATTTATTTCATGACTATTTTTGAAATCTTTACTACTTTAAGGTAATTAATTAAAAGAAAGTTGGTGCATGATTTTTAGTCGATTAAGAAGTTTTTGTATTACATTATTTTTCTAAGGTTCAGTTGATTTGACAATTAAAGAAATTAGACTTTTTACAATACTTAAAAGCAATTGATTTGTCCATGATACTCCAACCTGGTCTTTCTAATTGTTTATCTAAGGTTCAATTGAAGTTGGACAGGTCAATTGCTTTAAGCTTTTATTAGCATTTTGGTGTAAAGTGAAAAATAATTTATAAAGTAGAGACCTTTATAAAGTGGAACCATATAACCTATTGACTAGCATAGTTGAGGTCAACGCTAAAAAATAAAGACATGGTTGTTATCGGTAAAATTGTATTTAGGACTATAGAAATATTTGGAGCACAAGTTTATCGAGAAAAAAAATCCGAAAAACCCGAGAAACCCGAGAAAACCCGATATTGAAAAATCCGATATTGGTTGGTTTGGTTTGGTTTATAGATTTAATAACCCGATACAATTGGTTTGGTTTGGTAATTGCAAAATCCGAACCAACCCGACCTATGTACACCCCTATAAAATTCAGTCAGAAGCCCTGAATTCTATCGAACATGCAAACCCATGGTGAAAAGAAAGAATAGGAGATGAAAAAGGTCATTTTAATATCGTATTGCATTGCTAATAGCCATTCAAAGATAACCAAAGTAAGAGTTAATCAAGATTTAGTTACCAAATAACTTGACTTCACATAACTCATTTCATCAAGTTCTACTAATTACTTTTAAGGGTTTTATGTATTCTTGTAAATGCTTCAAAACTTTTGGATTATCCGGCGATTTGAGTTGCATTTTGGATAGTTTATGTCACAAATCACCAGGATAAGACTTGAACTAAAAGTAAAATATAAATGAATTGCCTCTTGAAATGTCTTAGTCTTTTTGTTAATTCTAGTATTCTAATAAGCTATGAAATTACACTTTTCCAGACACTCTTTCTCGTAAAATCAACATACTCAGTATGATTCCATAGGTAGAGTCTGGATGTATGCAGACGTTACACTCTTCAAAATCTTTTCACAATGGCACTGGCTAAGAAAGGATGGTGGCTGAATTCAAATTGAATCTTGATTAGAGAATTGCTGCTCCTTAGCTGATGGGGGGCAGGCAAGCTTTTGAAAGCAACCAAAATGCTGGACAAACCTCTGGCAAACAAATTGCAACATTGGTGAAAATTGAATATGCATATATGCTTTAACTCCTTACATGCATTTAAATCAAATCAGTGGCGAGCACCAATATGAGAACCAATCTTTCTTAGAAGTCACAGATCAACCGGTAAATACAACAACCACAACAACAAACAACGCCTCAGTCCCAAACAATCATTGATAAATATAACCCAAAAAATACCGCTTTGTGCAATGTTAAGAAGACGCTAAAAACCACACAAGAGGACTATTCTGCAAGCTGTGGATGAGATAAAAACAATATGGAGAAAAGCTAAATACCATCGTAACATCTTCAACTGGATATATATTGCACTGGGGAAACAAGACAGCAGGTAGAGTGAAACTTGATAATCCTTTGCCCTGTCTCGTACAAAATATCTTTTCTTTCCCTTTCTTTTACCTGATACAAATGAAATACTGTTGCAATTTAACTCTTGGATGGTTAAAAGGAGGAGAAACCAAATCTATTTGTATTATTTTTCACAAGTCACAATGCTCATGATTATTTGTTTCTAAGTCTCTTCTTCAATTGAAAAACTTTTCAAGAGACAATTTTGGGTAGATTCTTGTAAACAATAAAAGCAGCAAAATTAAAAATTAAAAAAAAAAAAAACTCACCTTTAAATTATCAGTATAATGAAGATTGAAATATAACATTTTCACACATGCATGGGTAGAAATAAACACAGAGCTCCGAGAAGATGCTGTTAAATTGCCAAATATATGTCATAAAAAGTAGTATGCTTTAATTTTCTTTCTATAATCTTGCACACACTCAGTTACTTTTTTCATCATGTACAGTAAATAACTAGGCAAATCTCTCTGGAAGATAAGAGTTTTGCTTCAACAAACTGAAAAAGCATTCTGCAACTGGGGTTGAAGTAAATAAAAGCAACAACTCCTAGGAATGCCACAATGCATGATGGAACAAAAGTTTCCAAAAATGAATCTTTGAACAGATTATTTTCTCCTGGATTTGGATCTGATACTGCAGTGCTCCTTCTGCAGTTTTCCTCGAGAGGTAATCCACAAAGGAAAGGATTGCCTTCGTAGGTGCTCGCTTCAAAGGTTGCAAACTGAGCCTTCCTATCCGTGTACGTCCTGATAAATTGTTGTTTGCCACTGAGAAGACTGATAGAAAGTTTAACTGAACCAAATCCGAAGGAATTTCACCACTCAGCTTATTGTCGTATAAGTCCAAGCTGTTGCGGAAGCCAAATGTATATAGTGTGAATGAGTCACAACTACTATACCAAAAATTATGACAACCACTAAATAATAAACAAGACAATAAGACAACAATAAAAGAACACCAGAATTTACGAGGTTCGGTCAATTTTGCCTACTTCCTCGGACACAATCAATATTTTATTCCACTCCAAAATTACAAGTGAAATAATACTAAAAAGAGAAGATACAAATGCCTTAAGAAGATAAAAGGCAAATGAGAGGTGTAGTAAATCCTAAACATTAGGCCTCCTTTTATAGAGTGAAATTCCCATTCAAAATTGTCATCCACCGATGTGGTACTTTTGACAATTTCAACAAATCTCCACCTTGGCAAAATTCCACATCTTCAATTTTCTCTCAATAACAAATTTTGGTTGTGTCTTCATCTTCAATCTTTAGTGTTCAACAATGTTGATCAAATCCAAACAATGTTGAAACTTGACCGCAGTCACCACTTTTGTCAGCATATCAGCAGGGTTCTCCGTAGTATGAATTTTCTTCACCGTGACTCCACCTTCTTCTATGATTTCTCGTACGAAATGATACCGAACATCAATGTGCTTCGTCCTTGCATGATAAACTTGGTTCTTCGCTAATTGAATAGCACTTTGACTATCACAAAAAATT